GCAATCCCTTTCCAAATAATAGACCTGTTCTGAGAAGCCAGATCATGTATTGTAAGAGGGAATTTTTTTTTTTCTTCGGATACTTGCTTTTCAGAATTTGGAATCAGAAAGCATTACTATGTTGAAAAAGATGCCATCCTAGCCTAAGAAATTTTATAATACTCAAGAGATAATTAATAACATATACAGTAGTTACTTCATGGATTTACTTAGAGGAGAGAGATAGACAAAAAAAGAAATAAAGGAGAGAGAAAATAAAAAAATTTGAACGAACATGAAAATCTTCTTATCACTTGTGGTGAGTTCGAATATAATTTTATGTGTCTATCTCTCTCTTCTCCAAATGGATCCATAGAGTAACTATTATACATATCACTAGTTATTTCTTAAGTATTATAAAATTTCTCATCCTAGCTTGATCATGAATGCCTTATTGTTTGTCCGAAAATTTCGCAAGCCAAGGCTGCCTTGAAATTTAGGTTGACAAATTAGATTCCATCCTGCCAAATGACTCTTCCTTTGATCCTCTATAGAGCCCCAAACAAATAATTTTCTCTGTTTTTCTAACTCATTACAAGTCGAAGTCAGAAGACGAGCTGATTGTATGGGATAAACTAAAATAGATGACAACAATGATACAACTGGTGTAAGTCTCCCTGCTAATGATAGATATCGAACTTGCCATCCTGAAAGTTTCTTTTGGAATTTTTCTACAATGTGTTGGTATGTTGGCTCTGTAATAGGACTATGAATTAAAGTGACTCTCAGGTACGTCTCGAAGTAATCAAGTCAGAGTAAATCCTAGAGCCGAGCGTAGATTTGTCTAGCCATACGTTTAGGAATGTTAGAGCAGAGTACACAAGTTTTGGCCACACTAACTTTCAAACCAGAAATGGCACAAAAGTTATCAAAGACCTCCATAATATTATGAATTGGACTTGAAACTGGCTTTAGCAAACAACATCAGATCATTTGTGTTAAAAAAAAGAAAAAAGCCATATGTTCGAGCCAGAGGCATTAAGAGTAATCGGCATCAATTTCTTGTTAATAACTGCCTGGTTAATCATCTGACTCAATCTCTCCTGCATAAAACAAAAATATAAGGAGATAGAGGATCCCTTGCCGGATACCACGAGAAGGATAAAAGACCTCAAATGTCATTCCATTACAATTCAACTATAGTGAAGCCGTTGAAATACACTTCATAATTAGTGACACTAAGCCATCTGGTAACCCAATATCCTGAAACGTGTCTAAGCCGTTAGCTCAATTTTTATTTATTTATTTCAAAATGAATTCATAAAATAAGTATTGTACATTCTATTAGTTATTCATTATGTATTATAAAATTTCTCATTTATCTAATACAAAATTCCAGTTTAGTCGATCATAAGTCTTTTCCAGATCAACACTAGTAGCCATAAAACCTTTTATTTATTTATTTTTCTTCTTTTGGCTGATCAAATGAAACATACAAACTCATGATTTTGACTAATTGTATTCTTCCTAATTTTAGACCGCGGGACCAACTAGTATTTCAGGCCTACCTTTTCATTAATATTCTCTGCCTATATTATTGTTGAAGGAATGTGAATTGTATTCTGCCTAATTTTAGACAACGGGACCAACTAGTATTTCAGGCTTAACTTTTCATTAATATTCTCTACCTATAATGTGGTCGAAGGAATGTGAACTGTATTCTGTTTAAAATTATTCTGCCTAATTTTAGACGCTGAGGTCAACTAGTATTTCAGGCTTAACTGTTCAGTAATATTCTGTACCTATAATATTGTTGAAGGAATGTGAATAATGATTACTTGTGTGTTTGTTGGATAATATGAAATAAAGGAAAGCTTCTTCCCCTCTCCTATTTTTTAAGGTTTGGAAGATATACTGGGTGATCGCATATTTCATTTACCTTTTTGATTCAAAATGTTTGGGTTAGTTCGTACTAATTATTTGGGTTTGTATGAAGAGAAAGTAAGGAATAATAATAATAATAAAAAAGATAATTTTGATAATAGAGAAGGAGGAGGAAGAAGAAGAATGAGGTGGCATACATGGCAGAGAGAGGAGGAAGAAGAAGAGAGAAAAAGAAAAAGAAAAAAGAAAGAAAAGGAAAAATTAAATAAAAATAGACTAATTTGAACAAGTGTCTACATTTTAGGTTATACAACTGTAGCTTCAATTCAATAAAAATCCAACTAAAACGAATTTAAGAGTAGAAAAAAGACATTAAAACAAATAAAAATAAATAAAAAACTAGTATAAAATAAAAAATAGAAACAGACATAGAAGCTTTTAACCCTTCTATTTTTATCCACTTTCGTAATCTTATATATATATATATATATATATATATATACTTTAAATGTTTTTCAATAATATATTATTCATTTATTTGATCCCTGTTAAATTTAAGTCTTAACCCATTTCCAAGCTGTGAGTTGCAATCGCGAGCAAATACAGTTAAAAAACTATATATATATGCACGGCGCAACCGACAAGGTTGCAAAATTCAAATCTGTACTATTATTATTGTTAAATTGTGATGATTTGCAGGAAACTTTGCAAAGGAAAAATTTCAGCCGCAAATCTGTATTATTATTATTTTTTTTGTTTTATGTTTTCAACGAAATAATAAAACATTAACATGAATTTTTAAATTTAGAATATTTTAGACAATAAAAAAAAACAATTTTTATTCTTTTTATTTTTTACTGGGCAACTGATGTGGGGTTGCGCAAATTTGAAATCTGTATTAGTATTAAATAGCATATATTCCGCACGTCGTCACGAGATGAGTTATATAACATTCTTATACATTTATTCATATAAAATTTAACATTTACAAATCATTATTTAACAATATCATGCGAAAATAATTTAAAAAAACACTAAAACATATATTTCATAATTTGCTTGCGAGGTTAGCTAAATAAAAAATCTACAAAATTGAGTAATAAAATGTTGGTAATTAGATATTATTTGATATAAACATGTATTTTATTAATAACCGATAATTAAAATAATAATGTGGCAGTTTTTTGAATTTTCGATGATTAATTTTCACTATCTATTATTCATCCGTAATTTGTTAATGAGACAGAGAGACCACTCAAAACAAAAAGATAAAAAAACTTTGTCAAATCGAGAATTTGGCAAAGAAAATAGGGATAAAATTACACACGATAAAGATTAAGTGATTAAAACAAAGTAAAGATCATAAAAAGGATAAAAGAAAATAAAAAAACTTTCACTAAAAGCAAACAAAAAATACTTATAAACAATAAGACTAAAAAAATTTCATTATGCATAAGGCAAGAACAAAAATAAACATTCTAGAATTTTAATGACCAAAATAAAAAAATAAAATAAAATAATAATCAAAACATAAATTTCTTTTCACTAAAAAAAAAAAAACTTAGCATAGTTAAAATGTATTTAATTTTAATGTAGAATGAATAATAATTAAATATAATAAAAGTTTAATTATTAAAATAAATGAAAGATCATAAAACAAAAACCAAAGTATAACAAAAAGTTTTACTAAAAGTAAAAAAATAGTTTCTTGTAGGGAAAAAATTTAATATCAAAATAAAAAATAATTACAAAATAAAAAAAAATCTACTAAATTTAATGACGAAAATAAAGAAAAAATCACAAAACGAAATCGAATAGAAAGAAAATTTCAGCAAAAAAAAAAAAAAAAACCTTAGGATAGTAAACTTTATTTAGTTTCGGTATAACAAGGATAAAAATCATATATAATAAAATTTTAATATTTTTTATAGGGATAAAAATCAAAGATAAGAAAATTTTAATGACCAAAATAAAAAAGAAAGAAAGAAGGGAGCAAAATAATAATCAATTTCCTAAGCCAAAACGGAAGAAGAAGGAAAAAAAAAAAAAAACCCTTGCACGAGGCCCGCGCATCGGGCCTAGGCTTCGCTCAAGAACCAAAAAAAAAAGAAAAAAGCCTGCAACTTTCGACGAATCGAGGTCGTCGAAAAATCGAAGATCAAGTTTTAGATCCCCTAGAAATTGAATACCAAGCATCTTTTTTTTTTTTTTTCAAATACCTCTAAATGATCGGAATAAAGCCAATAAATATATTTAAAACCTTAAAAATCATTTTAATGCGCATAAAAAAAATTACACAATCAAATCGGAATATTGTTTCCTTTTTGGCTCGATCTACCTCCTCTAATTGTTTAATGGCTTGAAACAATTATAGACAAACTCATCTCTCAAAGATAAAAAAATCTAGTGGATTTTTATCGATCAAAGTGGCCTAAATAAGCTTAGCCGGCTATCTCTCTCTCTCCTTCCGTCTCTCTCTTCTCCCTTTCATTTTCTCTCGTCTAAGGACCAAAATGGATGAACAAATAAAGATATAGATCGAAATATTCACCGACAAATATCAAGTTAACGTGTCCTTTCCTTTTTCCTTGTCTCCTCTGCATTATTTTTCTGTCGCTCTCCTCTAATTTTTTTTTGACACAGCGCATCATTTCCTTTTCCCCATCTTCTCTCCATTATTTTTCTTTGTCTCTTTTCTGCTCTCTCTCAACCCAACAGTGCATCCTCTTCCCCTTTCTCCTCCATTTTTTTCTATTTTTCTCTCATATATCTTTTTCTCTCGCCTATGTGCAAATCAGCTCCCATTAACAGCCACCATCTACTTGAATTCACCGGAGTTTGCATTCCTTCAACTTTCTTTTTGATTTTTCAGGGAATTTTAACTTGAATTTCTTTTTTTCATAGATTTGATACAGTTTTTTTAGTGAATTCCTGAAAAGAACCAAAGACTGTCCGTAATTTAGGAGGAAACAAAAAGAATGAGAAGAAGATAATTCCTTAACAAACATAAAAACAGGAGCAACAACCTCTTTATTCATTTACCTTAAGATAACTGTAATAAAGATGAAATTAAAGTTGCCGAACAGAATCTGAAACGGGCTAGACTGCTTCATGTCAGCTTCACATGTGTGTTCTTCTCACCCGAACTGCTTCTGAAGATAATCCACTACCTTCTTGTCCAGTTGGAAGCCCTTGGTGAGAACATTAATATTAATGAGCGGTTTGGATCCAAAGACAGTATTTGCAATTATAATCAAACCAGGGTTTTGGCTACTGAAAAACCCATAAGCAACTGCGTTTGTCTTTCCAATATTTATTTGGAAGTGAACGAGTCCAATGGGGAACACAAAAACGTCTCCTGGGTTCAGCACTTTGCTGATTAGTCGATTATCAGGGTTCGATGTAACAAAGCCAACATAGAGGGTGCCCTCCAAAACTAATAGCGTTTCGGTGCCACGGGGGTGCGTGTGGAGTGGGAATAGACCACCATTTGGTGCATAATCAGCACGACCTAAGGCTAAGCCAAGAGTATTGAGCCCTGGAATTTCATTGACAGTGACAAAACTGACAGCCGAACCAAGTTGATTGGAAGTGTTTCGTGTATTGAGCCCGGACGCATAGAAGAAATCGTTTTCAGTTACAAGTTTTGGATCCTTGCAGAATTTCCCGTTCACATAAACTGCACGGAAAAAAAATTACAGCATTAAAAGAAGTCATCAATAGATCGAATGAACATATTATATTATATTCAAATAAAAAGAAAAAAATGCGTAATGCTAAATTTCATGAAGGAATATTGCAATAATACTAGTGTATTATTATAATGTCTGTTACCGGCACATACCACCATTTGTTTCATTGATTGCTACGCAGAAGTCCTGAAGAGGAAAAGGGTCAGAGGCAGACGCAAGGGAAGAAGCCAAAGCCAAGAGAACGAAAACTACTACAAACTTGAGTACTTCCATTAGATTCTACTACAGTGGTTTTTTTGCTTGAGATATCTTGATAGGGATGAAGGCTATTTATAAACTGGATCAGTAATTGATCGATGGTCAAATATCGTTAGCTCTAAATGAAGCCGACGAAGACCGGTCCAAGTCTTTTTTGGGGGTGCCCTCTGATGCGACTTAACTTCATTGCTACTACGATCAAGTGGATGTTTTTTAGACATCGAACGGCTAACAATTTATTGGTAGACAGGAAAACTATGTTGGATTCACGAACAAGTCCAGGTTTGAAGAGTTTAAAACGTCTTAAAAATAGCGAGAATATAATTGTCATTTCCTTATTCTATTCCACTAGGCAAAACAAATACTCTAAAACTACATCATTATTGAAAAACAAGAAGGGGAAGAAAACGCAATCAACTAGAAAAATGTTAGGATTCTTCAACAATTTAACAAATATCAAGTGGTGATTTAGCAATTTAACAATTTTTGGGTTGCTATTGGATGGGCATGGTTGTTGGGGTTCCTGGCAACTAGTTTCAAGTTGTTCAAGTTGAAAACCTACCAAGCATGGCTGTCATTGTATTGAGTTGATTCTCCTCCCTTTCTTTCAAAATAAGGTGAGTTATTAAGCTTAGCACTGATTTCTTTATTTATTTGGGTTCAGCTAGCAAAAGATCAACAATTCGTTTGATCTCCGTTAATGGCTAATTTTGTACTATTTTTTTTTAATTTTTTGAATAATTCTTATTATATCTGGATTCTCATCTTCTCATCTTCACATTGCATTTTACTTCTTTCCGCTGTTATGATGCTACATGATGATAAGGGGATTTTAGTTGTGGGCTAGTCGCATTTTGCGGTGGACACAATCCATGATACTGTTTTGTCTGTCGTTTGTTTTGTGACAAGTCATGTTAGTCTAGCTGAATTTTGCAGAAATGTTTGTGACAGGTGTTTCTCTCTCTTCTAAGTTTCATCCTCCACTTGTATACTGCTATTACCTTTATCAGAAGTCAAAAGGTATTACTTAGTATTTAAAAGGGTTAATTTCAATTTACTCTAGAGATTTGGACCGAATCCAGTTTTTATTTTTAAGGTTTTGATTGTTTCAATGTCCCTTTTGAGGTTTCAATTAGGTGTCAATGGCTCTCTTCAGATTAGAAAAATCCATAGAAAATATTTGGCTAATTAGTTTGACATACCATATACTATGTGTTGATTGAAAACTGATACTTTGAAGTAAATTTTTTTCAATTCGAATATCATAAATATTTTTTTGATTTGTAATTAAATTCACCGATCTTGTTGACAAAAATTCAAACAGATGTGACTCGCATGTGATGGTAAAATAACAAAAAAACTCATATCTAAATTAATGATGTTCAAAAAACTAAATCTCTTTAAGACATTTTATCAAACACTTTAAGACCATAAGAAGCCTAACTAGATTCCTTTCCTCCTCTTCCCAATTCCTTCTCCTAACACCATCATCTTGATAATAGCAAGGCAGCATTAGATCCAAAAGCTTCCATTTCACCTCAAAGTGAACCAACATATCTGTTATCACCTAATTTTTATCTTAATTTTCTTAATCTTGTGGGGGAAAAAAAAAAGAAGAAGTTAATTAAATAGGTGGCTAAAAATTAGTTCTAAGGGTTCAATAAAAGATATAGGAAGTTTGGGAGAAAACCCAATTTATGGTCCATTTAAAAAGTTCAAAACCTTAGACTCCTAATTAAAAGAAAGTAAATGTACAATTGGGAGAATTTTTTTTTTTTTTTTAAAAAAAAGGCTTGATTACTACAATTAAGGGATGTATTGAAGTTTAAACAAGCAAAATTGCACCAAAATTGACAAATTTGGAGGAATCAAGGATCAAAATTAATATTTACCTAAAACCCTAATTAATTTCTTCTCTAAATAGCCTTCATCTCCCCTACTTTATACTGGATACTGTTCACTCCCCCAAAAAACAACACTTACATTCGTCACATATAGATTTTCCTTTAGAAAATCTGACTAGCCACCACTAGCCACTACCTTTGAAGTTCCAACTAGCCAACCAATACAATTCCCCTCACCATTTAACAGCAAACATAACCACTCCAGCCACCGTTCACAGCTATCCCTCATGCTAAAAATATAACCTTAGCTGTTGCAAATGTTTACTGTCGAAGCCACTCGTCTGTTAAAGGCACAACTAGAACCACTGTTCGATCCACCATCACAGACGAGCTCTTTTCCTCCCGTGGACCAAACATAACTTTATTCTAACCACCATCCTCTTACACTAACAAACCTTCTCCAGCCATCCTCGTTAAACAAACCTACTTCCATTAGCCAACCTCATTCAAATCACCACCCCTAAACCCAATGCTTGTTGGTAACCATTGACCACCACCACCATCACTAGAACCTACCTAGTAACCTCACCTTAAGCACCAAGAACCTTAATCAAATGCCTAATTTCACCACGACCAAGCAATTAACTAGAATCTCTTGTAGTCAAAACCACTACGATCAATTACTCAAATAGGCATAAAAACATAACATAATAAAATCAGATTTTTATTTTTACATACATTCAATGCATCCTACCATAGGTAGGACAAGATGACGATGATGCTATACATAACCGACCCCTTATCTAGATATCTATGTAGAATAGTCTTGTTTTAAGGTTTCCTAGTTGTCCTTGATAGCTAGGTGGCAATTCCTCCCCGTCCGCTTACACTCTTACGGGTCTTTGTTGACAAAATGACAACTCTGCTAAGGACATTGTCATGCTAGGATCAAGTTTTAAAGGTCAGCGTTAATGAATCTTTGGTTGTTTGTTGTACTTCTATGCCTATATGTTTTAAGTGAATATTTACCACTTAATTGTTTGCTTGTTCATGTGTTGTGAAAATGTGTTTGTATATATGTATCATTTATGGGTTTTCTTTACAACTTTAGTTATTTAATTTTTAAGCTTTTATTTTATATTTCGTGATTGGATATGGAGTCATACCCTCATATACATCATTACATAATTATAATTATCATTTGCATTTGCTTTAAGATGTAGAGAGTTAGTAGTGATGCTTTAATTGGATTTGCCTCGGGTCAACACTCACAAAACTTCAAGCCTTCTTATTAGCTACCATTGATGATGGGTAAACAATGATACTCACGATTGCTAATGTTATTGTGGTCAGTCTTAGTAATTCTATTAAAGCTTCACTAAGCAGTAAGATATCCTTTTAAGTTTTAGATATAGCATACCTATTCATTTAATTAATAACTAGAATAGGACTTTAGGACTATCCTTTTCTGATTAAATGCACAACATAAGTCTAATGTAGTTGCTTGACAAGTTGTAGTTGTACTTGCCTCGCTTTGGTGCTTGACAAGGTTGTGCTTAGTTGCTTCTATTTAATGCCCAAGAGATTATTGTGTTCTTGCACTCGACAACTCCATTTTGTTTAGAAATATAGCTTATAGCAAAATGCCTTTGAATCCCAAAATTCTTGCAAAACAATATGGACTATGTTGATGTGAACTCTTCTCTACAATCACACATAAAGTCAAAATTTTGTTAACCATTATGCTTTTCAATTGGAAACTTGAATTTCTTGAAGTACTCAAACATACGCGAATTTAAGTTTTAACCCTTTTCCTTCTCCGATTGAATGACTGGATTTGCTTTGAGGAGGAAACAAAATGGATGAGAAGAAGATAATTCCTTAACAAACATAAGCACAGGTGCAACAACCTCTTTATTCATTGACGTTAAGTAACTGTAATAAAGGTAATAAAAATGAAATTAAATTCGCCGAACAGAATCTGAAACGGGCTATACTGCTTCATGTCTGGGTAACCCGAATTGCTTCTGAAGATAATCCACTACCTTCTTGTCCAGTTGGAAGCCCTTGGTGAGAACATCAGTATTAATGAGTGGTTTGGATCCAAAGACAGAATTTGCAACTATAATTAGACCAGGGTTTTGGCTACTGAAAAACCCATAAGCAACTGCGTTTGTTTTTCCAACATTTATTTGGAAGTGAACGAGTCCAATGGGGAACACAAAAACGTCTCCTGGGTTCAGCACTTTGCTGATTAGTCGATTATCAGGGTTCGATATAACAAAGCCAACATAGAGGGTGCCCTCCAAAACTAATAGCGTTTCGGTGCCACGGGAGTGCGTGTGGAGTGGGAATAGTCCTCCATTTGGCGCATAATCAGCACGACCTAATGCTAAGCCAAGAGTATTGAGCCCTGGAATTTCATTAACAGTGACAAAACTGACAGCGAACCAAGTTGATTGGAAGTGTTTCGTGTATTGAGCCCGGCCCGGACGCATAGAAGAAATCGTTTTCAGTGACAAGTTTTGGATCCTTGCAGAATTTCCCGTTCACATAAACTGCACGGAAAAAAAAATTACAGCATTAAAAGAAGTCATCAATAGATCGAATGAACATATTATATTATATTCAAATAAAAAGAAAAAATGCGTAATACTAAATTTCATGAAGGAATATTGCAATAATACTAGTTTAATATTATAATGTCTGTTACCGGCACATACCACCATTTGTTTCATTGATGGCTACGCAGAAATCCTGGAGAGGAAAAGGGTCAGAGGCAGACGCAAGGGAAGAAGCCAAAGCCAAGATAACGAAAACTACTACAAACTTGAGTACTTCCATTAGATTCTACTACAGTGATTTTTTTGCTTGAGATATCTTGATAGGGATGAAGGCTATTTATAAAATGGATCAGTAATTGATCGATGGTCAAATATCGTTAGCTCTAAATGAAGCTGACGAAGACCGGTCCAAGTCTTTTTTGAGGGTGTTCTCTGACGTGACTTAACTTCATTGCTAGTACGGATCACGTTAACGTTTTTGAGACATCGACGGCTAACAATTTATTGGTAGAGAGGAAAACTACGTTGGATTGAACAAGTCCAGGTTTCAAGAGTTTAAAAGGTCTTAAAAATAACGAGAATATAATTGTCATTTCCTTATTTTATTCCACTAGGCAAAAGTAAATACTCTAACGACATCATTATTGAAAAACAAGAAAGGGGAAGAAAACGCAATCAACTAGAAAACATGTTAGTGTTCTTCAACAATTTAGCAAATATCAAGTGGTGATTTAGCCATTTAAAAATTTTTGGGTTGCTATTGGATGGTCATGGTTGTTGGGGTTCCTGGCTGCTAGTTTCAAGTTGTTCTAGTTGAAAACCTACCATGCATGGCTGTCATTGTATTGGGTTGATTCCATTTCTTTCAAAATAAGGTGAGTTATTAAGCTTAGCACTGATTTATTTATTTATTTGGGTTCAGCTAGCAAAAGATCAACAATCCTTTGATCTCAGTTAATGGCTAATTTTGTACTATTTTTTTTTCTTTTTTCTTTTTAGAATAACTCTTTAATATCTCTGTATTCTCGTCTTCTCATCTTCACATAATATTTTGCTTCTTTCGTTTGTAACGATGCTAACAAATGACAAGGAGATTTTAGTTTAGGGCTACTAGCATTTTGCGGTGGGTACAATGCGTGAGACTGGTTTGTCTGTCGTCTATTTTGTGACAAGTCTTGTTAGAGTGGCTGAATTTTGCAGAAGTGTTTGTGACAGGTGTGTCTGCGGTCTTCTAGGTTTCATCCTCCACTTGTATACTGTTATTAATTTTATCAGAACTCCAAAGATATTACTTAGTATTTGAAAGGGTTAATTTCAATTTAATCTGGAGATTTGGACCGAATCCTTTTTTTATTTGTAAGGTTTTGATTGTTCCAATGTCTCTGTTCAGGTTTCAGTTAATGAGCTATCAATGCGCCTCTTATTTTAGCTAAACCAACAAATATATATATATATATATATATATATATATATATATATATATATATATTCTAAATTTTTAAAATTTGATCAAATATAATTATTTAAAAATAACATGATGAGATCAAAGAAAACATATAGAATTTTTTGAAAATTTAGAAAAAATTAAATTAAGAAGATTAAAATTTTAAAACTAAGAAGTCTAATATATGAGGATAAACAACTTTTAAGTTTTTCTATTGTTACAATGATATAATCATCAACTAATAAAGTAACAATATATTTGAAAGAATCAATTAATGTAGCAATGTTTGATATATTGTTACTTTATTAGTTGATGATTATATCATTGTAACAATAGAAAAACTTAAAAGTTGTTTATCCTCGGACATTAGACTTAGTTTTAAAATTTGAATCTTCTTAATTTAATTTTTTCTAAATTTTCAAAAAATTCTATATTTTTTCTTTGATCTCATCAAATTATTTTTAAACAATTAAATTTGATCAAATTTTAAAAATTTAGAATATATATATATATATTATTTAATTTTTTTTTTTTTTATCGAGCTCCATAGTTTAAACATTCTCTTTGCATATAATTTTTAGTTCCATGTATATCTCCGGATTCTCTTTACATATATTTGTTCCGTTGGTTGAAATGAAGCTATTAGGAGGCTTTTCACTTATGTGATCGAAATTAGTTCTATGCATGATTATTTGCTCCCTGTTTGAGTAAAAATTAAGCTATCAAGTGCTTTCTATCTATATGGTTGAAGCCGTTAATGACTTTCAAATATAATTATTTGCTCCTTGTGCGAGCAAAATGAAGCTATCATGGGCTTTTTACCTATATTGTCGAAATTGCCAACGGTTTTCAAATATGATTATCTACTCATTATTCGAGAAAAATGAAGTCTGGAGGTGCCTTTCTACTTATGTGGATGAAGTTTTTGGTAGCTTCTCAAACCCATAATCCGAAATCGATAGTGGCTTTATCACTTGTGTGAGTGAAGTTTACGGAGACTTCATGTTTATGTCAACATAAGCTCTTAATTTTTAGTTACTCATCTATTTGTTGATATAGGTTTGTGTTTGTTAAAGATTAAGCAAAATTTCAATCTCTACCCAACTATCCCGAATTCTAAATTGCTTTGTTATTCTATCCCAACAGAATAAATTCACTTAAATAAGTATAGAAACATAATATAATAAATCATATTTTTATTTTTACATGCATTCAATACAGTCTACCATATGTAAGATTTGATGATAATGATTTTATATGTTTTTCATATATAAACAAACTCTTATTCAGATATAGGGTTTGTTAGTTCTCCCAATTGGTAGGTCCTCCCTACCCGTCCATGCTCCTATGAGCACCCATCGATAATGTCTAAAAGGACCAGATTCACATCGTGGTGATATATCCTGTTCAATATTATACTTAGAGGTTGGAATGGTCAAAGTATTACTGCATAGAGGACCAACAAGTAGCAAATTCCATGATATACGGAAAGGCTAAAAAAAAAAAAAAGAAGCAAATTTCACCATTAGGGGACCAGCAAGCCCATTACTTTTGACCAACCCATTAGCCTTATTCAAGGTTAACCTGAGATTGTTCTCTAGATTCTCCATCCGTTGGAAGATGATGGCCTCCGCGAGATGCTGGATGATTGCCCTATTCGCTTGAAGGACTTTACATCATCAGATGCACCTGATGTCATCTTAAAGGTGCCTTGCTCCCATATCGTCTATGACAAATCCATAAGAAACCCCATGATGATGATGATTTTGCATAAAGAGAGGAATGAAACTAGATCTAGAGAGAGAGATTAAATGATTTAGGATTTTAAAAAAAAACAAAATCTTTTTTTTTTTTGTTTTTTAATTTAGGGGTGGGCTTATTTGTAATTTTACTATGTTAAGCTTGTTGGTAAAAAAAAAAGTTAACGTGCCTTTTATTTATTGAGTCATATCAACATCAAATCTGAAAACTGTGTCCTAATTTTGGTTAGCGGAATAAAAAAATTTGATTACAAATTATAAAATAATTATGGTATTGGAATTGAAAAAAATTTAGTTCGGGTTACTAGTCTTCGATCAACGCATAGTATAGGGTACTATCGAACCAATTAGGTAAAAAAAATTTCAGTTTCTAAATTTTTTAAATGTAATCAAATATAACTATTTTAAAATAATTTGAGGAGATCAAAGAAAAGCATAAAATATTTTGAAAATTAAAAACAGATTAAATTAATAAAATTAAAATTTTAAAACTAAGAAGTCTAATGCCCAAAGATAAACAACTTTTAAGCTATTATATTGTTACAACAATATAAGCATCAATAACAATATATTTGATAAAACCATATTAATGTTCATACTTACACGCATGACTCATCAAAGAAAAAAATATAAATTATTTAATTTTTCTTAATGAACTCTATAGTTTAATATCTCTCTCTCTCTCTCTCTTTCTCTATTCCCCATATTGACGATATAACTAATCTTATTCGGAGCGAGAGCAATCGGGTTGAACCTTTCTTAACAAGTACAATTTCAAAATTTGAACCTTGACGAGAAAATTTAAACTTTTCATATTGATAGAAAATTTGCCTTGAGACCAACTAGCTTACTACTAAGCCAATAACTTATTAATAAACTATTAGACCAACCTATCACTTTTCTCTTTACATATAATTTTTAGTTTGATGTATATTTTGCTTTTTTTTTTTTTATGACTTTTGTATTTACATTTTTAAAGAGCTAAGTTGTGTAAATTCTTCATAGTTTGATCTAAAATCCTAGTTTTATTGGTGTTAGGAAATAAAAAGTAGAGCAAATGTTCACAATTCTAAATAATATTTTTATTGAATTCAAGCTCTTTTAATGCTAACATAACAAAAGACACATTTAAATTCATTTACTAGCTAGGATAAAGAAGTTACATAAATATGCTGCACTACTTTCTATACTAAGTAACTACTAAAAAAGACATGAGGAGTACATTCTTTAAAAATCTCATCTACTTTGACACATACTCGACTCCCACTAAATGAAAACAAAATCACTTTGAGAAAAAAAAAAATGAAAAACTAAGAAAAACATTAGGCCGATTCAGCAAAGTTGAATTGCTTCTAACATTCCTTCTCATAATTCAACAAGCTTTAGCTCCTACCATGAATCTAAACTTCTTAAATTTATTCTCTACTAAAACTATTGTGAGAATATTTATTGGTTGTTCATTAGTGTTACAATACAATAACTCTACCACTTCTTTAGCAACCAATTCTCAAATGAAGAGGTGTCGTGTTTTGATATGTTTTGTCATAACCCAATTTTGGGTTTCCTTTAAAGGAAAAAAAAAGAAAAAAAAAGGAAAAAAAAACAAAAAAGGAAAAATATAAAAAAATATTAAACTTCCCTAAAATCATTCAAAAATCTGTTGAAATCTTTAACAAATCTTTTTAAATTGGAAGCTCCTTATTTTTAGCTAATCAAATCTCAAAATTAAGATTTGACAATTAAATTTTGAATTGATTTTGGGAGAAATTTTAGGAGGTTTCGGCTTATAAAAAGCTTTCGAAATTCCAATTAAAGAGAGAAAAAAAATAGGAGAGGGGAGAAGAATTCTAAAGAGGAAGATTGGGCAAGAAATTCTGGTTAAAATCATCCCGAAGATTGGTTTCTCGTCCAAGCTTTCTTGGAATAATAATCATCAATTTAAGTGTACTAGGTCGGTATGCATTTTTCTTTGTTTTCGGTTATAATCCTATTAATCTTTTGCTCAAATGATAGTTAATTGTTTGTTGATGCTTGAGATTTTTTATTTGATTTAAATGAGAACTTAAACATGATATGTTGTCTCTCTTGAGCGATGTTTTATTTACGGGAAAAAGACCGAGAAAATAGGGAAAGAAAATGGAGGCGGTGTAGAACAGGAGAGGGAGGCGAGATGCTTGAAAATTCATGTTTGATCGAAAAAAGAAATAAAACCGAAAGGGGTTTGTTTTTGGGTCTTAATTTAGTTTGGGTTTTCTTAAAAAAAAAAAAAAGAAGAAGGAAAAAGTGAGTTGGGTCAAACCCAACTCTTGTGTGACCCAACTCACGTTGAACATTGGTCCAGACCTAGTTTGGTGGCTAAAACAAGGAAGAAGGAGGCTGGGCTCCGGTCTAGTCCTCCCCGCCCTTTCCTCCAAGAAAAAAATCACAAGAAAAACTAGAGCTAGTCCGAGTTTCACGAAAGAAAGAATGGAAGTAACAAAAAAAAAAAAAATGAATAAAGGCATGATAAATCAGAATGGGTCCATTCGGTATAAAAAAAAAAGGGGAAACAGATTGGGTAGGAAAGAAAATTATCATAGGCTACGTGTTTGGTTTTTTTCAAAATCATTTCCTTTAATATTTTAATTGTTCTTTTTTCCTTTTTCTCTTTTTTTCTCTTTTAGCCAATTTGTTTTCTTCGTCACCTCTTCCCGCATTAATTGAGGTTTTATTTTTTTTCTTTCTTTCTTTTTTTCTTTTTTTTAATTTTTTTATTAGATTAATTAAAAAATTAATAAAGTCTCAAATTTTGGCGAAGCCTCCTACTTGATAAGGACCGACACCATAAAATAAAATATATAATAATAAATAAATAAATAAATTCGATGAAGTCTCCTATCTAATAACCACCGACATCACCCAAAAAGAATATTCAAGATTTTCGACGAAGTCTCCTACGTGATAGGGACCGACGTCATCAAAAGTCACCTTTTTAATTAAGATGTCCTCCGACACGCCGGTTGTGTTAAGGCTTTTAGTGGATCCAATGTTTGAACCGACGTGTCACCCGACGAAGGGGATCGATAATCGTTTCAATATGATGCCATGCCCAAAAACCAAAAAAAAATCCACTTAGTCTAAAAAAACAAACAGGACTTTAAAATTAGAAAATAGTTTGATATGGAATTTTAGGAGATGAATTTAGAACTAAATCATACATGGTATATTTTTTGAAAAGGGCGATCTTAGATGATTAAATATCTTCCTAAGAGCGTAACCAACTCCTTACCTTAGGAATCTTTGAACCGAGTGCTACTTTTAAGTTTCTAGTTTCTTAAATACTAGGTGGTGACTCCAAAACTCTATAAATAATTTTGTAATAATTAACGCTCGGACTTTTAATTTTCTTTTGGGGGTCCCGTCCGACGTCGTGTAGCGACATGTTTTGTCATGTAATGTTGAGTTAGACTCTTGGAAAGTGCTATTATGGAATAGTTGTCACAATAAATGATAGCTGGTACTTCCTGTTTTAGTTTCAAATCCTTTAAAATTTGCTTAACCGAATTGCTTGGCAAGTTATAGTTGTACTTGCTTCGCTTTAGTGCTTGACAAGGTTGTGCTTAGTTGCTTCTATTTAATGCCCAAGAGATTATTGTGTTCTTGCACTCGACAACTCCATTTTGTCGAGGAATATAGCTTATAGAAAAATGCCTTTGAATCCCAAAATTCTTGCAAAACAATATGGACTATGTTGATGTGAACTCTTCTCTACAATCATACATAAAGTCAAAATTTGTTAACCATATGCTTTTCAATTGGAAACTTGAATTGCTTGAAGTACTCAAACGTTTTATATTACTTCTTCAAAAAATAGATCCATGATTTTAGAGAGAAATAATCAACTCAAGAAATTATTACTTCCATTCAAAGAGCCTGTTTGCATAAGGCCATACAAATCAGCGTGAAGTAGCATCAACGACTTTGTACCTCTTTATGATTTTTCCCTTTGAAAATATTTCTCGATGATGCTTAGCAAAAATGCATGCTTCACAGAGTTTCTTGTCACCACTAACCATGGACAAACCTGAAACTACATTCTGATTTTGAAATAAATTTAGCCCTCCAAAATTCAGATGACCATACTTCTTATGTCAAAGCATAGAATTACCAATTGAACAACTCTAAATAACTTCATAGAAAACATCTTATTACTAGTCATTTTAACTAAGTAAATGAAGTTCCTTCTCTTCTTACCATATATGAAGCATTAATTCATGGTTGTCAAAAACAATATAATAACCTATTTCTATCAACTAACCCAAGTTAAGCAAATTATGAGACAGGCTAGGAGCACACATAATAGTATGAATAACCTTGGCACTATTTTCTAACATTAGCAACAATACCCATACCACAAACTTGAACTGACATCACTTGTAATTAACTTGTAAGACTCGTCAATTTTGACAAAGTAACTCATGTTTCAATCATGTGATTGCTATAGCTATATATTGTTTAAATACTAGATTTTTTCACACATATCAACATTAGCATCAAAGCAAGCAACGAATAAATTATCTTCAGAAACTTTTTTTTTCTCTTTGTGAAAGTTAGCTTGCTCATATTACACAATTCGTCATTTCTGAATGACAAGTTAAAATGTGGTTGCACTTTTTCTATATTTTATTTTCTTTCTAACACTGAATAAAACAGAATGATAAATTCATATTTTCTATTCAATCCTCTTTATCAAATGATTGTCCAAGTATAATTATAAAAAAAATTTCTAACCTGAATTAGTGAGTGATATATCGCTCAATAAAACATATTTTCACGCACACATATATAGAATTTTAATGTTTTACAATTATATATTATTCATTTATTTGATCCCAGTTAAATTTAAGTTTTAACCCTTTTCCTTCTCCGATTGAATGACCGGATTTGCTTTGAGGAGGAAACAAAAAGGTTGAGAAGAAGATAATTCCTTAACAAACATAAACACAGATGCAACAAGCTTTTTATTCATTTACTTTAAGTAACTGTAATAAAGGTAATAAAGATGAAATTAAAGTTGCTGAACAGAATCTGAAACGGGCTATACTGCTTCATGTCGGGTTTCATGTCTGGGTAACCCGAATTGCTTCTGAAGATAATGCACTACCTTCTTGTCCAGTTGGAAGGCCTTGGCGAGAATATCAGTATTAATCTGTGGTTTGGATCCAAAGACAGCATTTTCAACTGTAATTAGACCAGGGTTTTGGCTATTAAAAAACCCATAAGCAACTGCATTGGTTTTTCCAATATTTATTTGGAAGTGAACGAGTCCAATAGGGAACACAAAAACGTCTCCTGGGTTCAGCACTTTGCTGATAAGTCGATTATCAGGGTTAGATGTAACAAAGCCAACATAGAGGGTGCCCTCCAAAACTAATAGCGTTTCGGTGGCACGGGGGAGCGTGTGGGGTGGGAATAGACCACCATTTGGTGCATAATCAGCACGACCTAAGGCTAAGCCAAGAGTATCGAGCCCTGGAATTTCATCAACAGTGACAGAACTGATTGTCGAACCAAGTTGATTGGAAGTGCTTCGTGCATTAAGTCCGGCCGCATAGAAGAAATCGTTTTCAGTTACAAGTTTTGGATCCTTGCAGAATTTCCCATTCACATAAACTGCTAAAGAAAAAAAAATTTACAGCATTAAAAGAAGTCATCCATAGATCGAATGAACATATTATATAATATTAAAAAAAATGCATGATACTAAATTTCCTGAAAGAATACTGCTATAATACAAGTGTAATATTATAATGACTGTTAGCAGCACATACCACCATTGGTTTCATTGATGGCTACGCAGAAATCCTGAAGAGGACTAGTGTCAGAGGCAGACGCAAGGGAAGAAGCCAAAGCCAAGAGGACAAAAACTACTACAAACTTGAGTCCTTCCATTAGATTGTACTACAGTGATTTTTTTGCTTGAGATATCTTGATATGGATGAAGGGTATTTATAGACTGGATCAGTAATTGATCGACGGCTAACAAGTCTTTGTTGGGGGGTGCCCTCTTTCATGACTTAATTTTATTGCTAGTAGGATCACGTGAATGTTTTTGAGACTAACAATTTATTGGTAGAGAGGAAAACTATGATGGATTCATGAACAAGTCCAGGTTGCAAGAGTTTAAAAGGTCTTAAAAATAACGAGAATATAATTGTCATTTACTTATTTTATTCCACTAGGCAAAAGCAAATACTCTAAACGACATCATTATTGAAAAACTAGAAAGGGGAAGAAAACGCAATCAACTAGAAAAATGTTAGGGTTCTTCAACAATTTAAAAAATATCAAGCGGTGATTTAGCAATTTAACAAATTTTGGGTTGCTATTGGCTGGGCATGGTTGTTTGGGGCGGGTTCTTGTCTACTAGTTTTAAGTTGTTCAAGTTGAAAAGCTACCATGCATGGCTGTCATTGTATTGGGTTGATTCTCCTCCCTTTCTTTCAAAATAAGGTGAGTTATTAAGCTTAGCACTGATTTATTCATTTATTTATTTATTTGGGTTCAGCTACCATGCAGACCTATTTTTTTCCTCCTTATTTTCTAATATTTATGTGTACATAAATAATATTTTATGCTCACAATAATATTAATTCAAATATTTAACTTGACTAATTACTCCATAATTGAATATTTAGGGATTAATAAAAATATTCTTCTTCCACACATACATATATAATTATTTAGAAGATTTTTTTCAAGGGTATTACAGTTTGATTGTTTTTCTTTTTGTAAGAGAGAGAGAGAGGGAGAGGGAGAGAGGGGTGGGAAGGGGAGAGAGACATGCTTTGTCATAGATTGTTGTGTCTAACCTTCTTGGAGTAACTGTTTGCTTGTTTGCTTTGTAAATATACATTATTGGAGTTTTGTTTATGGTATGGCTATTTGTTACCAAAAAAATATGGTCGAGTATTCTTTCTCATAGGATTTGGCAATTTTTTCTTCCAAGAATATGGTTAAGTCTATTCTCTATTGCATCGAGATGTCTATTCCTTTGAGGTATGGCTATAATTTTTATTATTTTCTTACCTTTAGAGGGGTTTGGCTATGAATTTTGCCTCCTCGCCTCTCGATTTAAGGATATAGCCATGATCTTTTCTGTTGATAGTCTAGTCTATTGCTTATTATGTGGTTTCATTGTAGACTTTGAAGGCATTTATTTTGGAAAATTATTTTGAATAATATAGTATTTGATTGTAGCAAAAACTTTTACATCAAATTGTTTTACTATGTACATTCTTTATGCCTTTAACTTCAAAAGCCTTGGTGATAAATATGCTTTACTTTGAACTTGAATAGAGTGCCTCTTAACTTCTTGATAGAGCCATCTAAGGCTCTCTAGGTCAACCTCATTTGGTTAATTGCCCTGAATAGTAACGATCCCTTTTAGAGTAAGGAACTTTAAGGATAGATACCTTATAAAAGTTACTGTTGGTATTTCATGTAGCATGGGTCTTTTAAAGATGGCATTATATGCCAAATGTATTTCCATGAACATAAATGTTGGAGTGATAGTGATCTCTTATAGGGGAGCATCTAACTTCACATCTAGTTGAACTATTCCTTCCATAAGTACCCGCTCACTTTTTATGCCCATTATTACAACCATTATCGATTAAAGCCGGGATGCTTTTAATCCCATCCATTTGAAAGCCTTCTTAGAGATAATGTTTACTAAACTCTTATCATCCATAAAAATGCGATGGACTTTGTGCCAAAAGATGATAGTTGTGATGACTCAAGTGTCATCGGTGGAATAGGCAATCTATGTCAAGTCTTTGAGTGTAATGATGATGGGCTCGTGTCATGGCGTTGTTATTTAGGCGGTGGTTGGGACCACTTTTTATTCAAGCCCGATCTTGGCTAGGTTTCCTTACCAGGATGTTAGAACACATATCTCACGTTGAATAATTAAACCAATAATGAATAATATATAAAATTGAGAAGGGACCATCCAGAATAAGGCTTAAGTCTTTTGGATGAAACTCAATCTCGGTTATCTAACTTTATATGGTATCGAGCCTCAAAGAGGCCATTAAAAATCTTGGAGCCCAAGTCACTTGACGGACCCCAAAAGATGGGCCGCAAGTGAGGGTGAGTGTTAGAACACATATCCCACGTTGAATAATTAAACCAATAATGAATAATATAAATTTGAGAAGGGATCATCCACCATAAGGCTTAAGTCTTTTGGATGGAACTCAATCTCAACTATTTAACTTTATACGGGATAACAAAGATTTTTAGCAAGTCATCTTAAAGGTGTTCTAGTTCGTTGTTATGATGGTTGGGGTTGTCTTTTTGAAGTCTTTTAAGGCATCCCATAATGATCAATCTTTTAATCTCTTTTTTTGGAGAGTATCATTATTTAATGTCATGTTTGTGGTCTCAATGGTATAGGAAATATTTCTTTGAATCCCTTAGATGGGGAGAACCTTTTATTGGAGGAAGGTAATTTACAAATGCTTACCCCTAAAAGACTGTAAACACCTTTGTCTCGAACACATTCAAAAATGTGTTTGGACCTTAGGGATCATAAGACGAATTTGTATGAGTCCTCTTAAGTTCTCTTTTGAACCTATGAAGATAGATGGTGACTTTTTCTTTTTTGATCTATTAGTTGGTCTTTGAAATTAGGGGTGCATTTCCCTATAGGCAATTGCTTCTTCCATCCTAATATGGCTTTTGACCAACTTCTTTACTTGGTTGAGGATTTTATATAATAGATAATAGATATTTTTCCATAGGTTAGTGTTGCTGACCCTTTTAATGAGGGATTCCATAGCTCCTAATTCAAGTAGGCCATCTATTCTAGCATTTCTTTATGGAATAGAGAGACGTATGCTCAATTTCCTTTTCCTTCTTGTTGTGTGATGGAGAAAAGGTCATCTAAACCTATATCGACATGAATACTAGTAGATAATCATACTATTTCCTTAAAGTTAAGATTCACAAAACTTAGAATAGACTCGAGAATCTAGATTGTTAAGAGTACCTTATAGATGGTGTCTGTTCCATACAAACCAAACCCAAGAGTTCCTCTCATGCTTTGCATATGCTCTCTACGATCAATGGAACTATCATATGTGTTCAGAATTATTTTATTAGAGAGAAACTCTTTGAAGAGTTTGACATCAAGATACATGGAGCCAAAAGTGACATACAGACCCTGTGTTTATAATGATCTATGCATTAGTGAGAGGAGACTTCGAGTCTCCTTTTCATGCGATGGTGTTAGATCTCTAGGTTTATATGTAATTTTTTATAAGGAAAAGCATTGATATTGCTTTTTTGTGTTCTCTAGCAATGCTAAATGCTTTCTTGGCATCACGGTAACATTCAAATCTCTGTTTTCTCCTTTTCTCTATTGGATCCACGTGTCTTGGGCTCTCTTTTCGATCGACGTACATTGTTTATCTAGGATCCTACAATGTACAATGGCTTCACTTCCCATTTTTAGTGTTGAAATGTTCTTTTTGTGTCTTATCTGGCATGCATAGGCCTCATTTGTTTATGAGGGGAGAGAAGATAATTTTTTTTTAGTGTCAGGAGTAGCACATTAGGGCACTATAGTATCTAAAGGAGGACGGAGGACACATAAACATCTAAGGAATTGAGTCGAGCATTTTAATTTGTGCTTGGTCTGCCAAAAACACCTTTATGAGATTCTGGACATGTTGATTCAGTTGGGTAACATTTGCAAGCCAAGTGCATGGATTAGCAAAGTCTAAAGGAGTAGTATGTTCAAAAACTTCCTTTTTATATACTATACATGAACCTAAAGACACTTTTAGAGAGCAAGATTAGAGATACAAGGGATTTGACCAGTTTTTTGCTCAGATCCCCACAAATAAAGCTAGCTAATAAGTCGTTGTTTGACTTAGTCTAACAAATTTAAGAAGTGTTGTTTATGATTGGATGATGGTTGGAGATCGTGCAGGAGCGAGAGCAAAAGTTCTCTTGTATCATATACTTGAAAAACAAGTCTCTCTATTTGGTTAAAGGACTCTTTAACGTCGAAGTTACTGGTTGAAAGGCAGCAAAATTAGCCCAAGAAGGCTATTATATGTTAGTATATGATAATTTGTATGTAGTTTAGCAGAAGTGTGGAAGATGTTTGGAATTGACCTATTTGGAGAGAATGTTAGAAACCTTAGCTTGTGTTTGAAGTTAAGAGAGGAGAAGGAGTATTATGCCAGTACTCTTTTTAGGTAGATTTTTCTCTTGTTTGGAGAGCTTGTCTCTTGACCCTTAATGCTAGTTTCATGCCTTTATATAAGCATTCGTTAACACTCGATTTTGACTCTTTATTTTTACAAAATTTTTAAATAAGTGAAAAAAATGCTAAAACAAAAAAACAAATGAACATTTTACTTGATATCTTACATCTTTAGAAATTTAGACTTTTTAGAGTTTGGTACGAGTTTTATGATTTTTGAATTTTTATGAGTGTCGAAAAAAATATCAAGTGTATATATATATATGTTAGAAAGAAAAAAAGAAACAAAGAAGAAAAACAAAAAAAAGAGGGAAAATAAATAAAAGAAAAGAGAAAGAAATAAGGAGGGATAAAATAGGATTAATTAAGGGGTTTAATTAAAAAATATTTGAAAGTATCATGGGTCAATATAATAGAAATCCATAGCAGAAATTAGAAAACAATCAAAGAGCCTAATCGGTGAATAGAGGGGCCAAATTGCAACAAATTGAGAGACTTGATTTAAAACAAAATAGGACATGTGATGGTCAACTTAAAAAAGATACTGGAAAAGGGGAACTAACATAAACACACTAAAATTTCCAATAGCCCAGACCGTGCAACACCCCTCAACATCGCCGCCGCCCCAACTATTCATCATCTTCTCCTCACACGTTTCCTCCATTTTTTGGCTCGAAAAGAAAGCTTTCCAGGCCCCAAAACGGCAACAAAATAAAAACAAACAAACTTACCCCATTAAGTCCTTCTTCCAGGCGTTTTAGGGCTGCCATGAGAAGACAGCTCATGGCAGCAACCACCTTTGGCAGCCAAGAAGTGACAAGAGAAGAGCTTTTCTGTTACTTCAAAATGAAGGGTGATTATCTACTAATGAAAAATGAACGGCTGGGATGAAAAAAAGAACAAAAATATATAAAAGCAAGCAAGTGAGACACAAGCAAAGAAAAATGATACTCTAAAGTAAAGGAAAAAAAAAGGTGCCAGCTTTGTGGGGAGACTTGAAGAGAAAAAGAGAGGTAGAAAGCTCGAAAGAAAGGGAAAGAAAGGCATTGGGTAAAATTGCGAAGTGTGGAGAGTGGTTTGGAGGAAAGAAAGAAGAAGAAAACAAGGAAAAAAGGGAGAAAATCCACCCCAAAGTGAGCCACTCGGTAAAGAAGATACTGTCAGCCCTCATCTTTGCAACTTCAGTGTAGCTTCAGGAGGTACCCCTTTCAACTCATTCTTCTTTCGTCTTACTTTCTATATATCCTTGTTTGATGTGTGAAAATTTCTTATCATGTACATTTTGTTTTAGGCTTCAGAGTTAGACTCAAAGTAGGGCTGTTGGTAACGAAAACTTAGAAAAGTCCTTTTTTTTCGGTTTGAAGTGACGTTTTTACAAGTTGGTTTTATCCCATTTCCAGTAACGTTTGAGGGCGATTCTTTGTTTTATGATGTAGAGGGCAATCCCCTCTACACCCCAGAACCAGTTTTGAAGTCATAAAGTGTCTAGAGAATTCGAGAGTTAAGCCCAAAGCACTGTTGGTATAAAAAAAGCTTGAAAAAAAAAACTGTTTCAGTTTGAAGTAGGGATTTTCCAAATCAATTTTCTTCCGTTTCGATTTATCTTTGAGGCTTATTCTTTGTTGGGAGTGTAAAGGGCCATCCTCTCTACACCCCAGAATATTTTTAAGCCCAGAAAATATCTAGAAAATTCAGGAGAGAGATCCAAAGTTGGGGGACTGGTTAAAAAAAAAAAAACACTAAAAAGTCCTTTTTTCGGTTTGAAGTTGCGTTGTTTCAAGTTGAGTTTATCCCATTTACAGTAACCTTTGAGGGTCATTAATTGTTTGATGGTGTATAGGGCCATCTCCTCTACATCCCAGAACGGTTTTTGAAGTGAGAAGATTCCCATAGAGTTCGGAAGTTAAGCCCAAAATAGGGCTGTTGCTAAAATAAAAAAAGTTGGGAAAAAAAGAAGTCTGTTTCTGTTTGAAGCAGGGATTTTCCAGGTCAATTTTCTTCTATTTTCAGTAGCCTTTAGATTGATTCTTTGATTGAGGGTGTAGACGGCCATCCTCTCTACACTCCAGAACTGTTTCAAAAATCAGAAAGTACATAGAGAACTCAAGAGAGATTCAAAGTGAGATACCCAAAAGTCTCTAAAATAAGAGTCAAATTTTGAGTTAAGTGGCAATTTCGTAAATTTGGATACAATTGACTTTTACCACGTGTCAATTTGTGATTGGAGAATTTTTTAGCACCGAGAGGCAGAATGTTCATTCCAAAGAATAGTCAAGGGTATTTTGGTCTTTTTACACATTAGGGTAAGATATTAATACTAAAAAATTTATCAGCCTTCACTTCCAATATCTTTGTATTTATTCATTTATGTTTACAAATTAATTATGTGTTGATATTCCAAAGTGCAATTGATGCGCCATTGCATATCAAACCTGCAGATCCGAGGCCTCAAGATTAATGAAAAGATATAAAGTTGATATCAATATCTTGGGATGCGACTAGGAGGATGAGTTTTTGTGATTAATACTTTGAATTATCCGAGATAAGAGCCAACCTCAGTGTGCCTTTATTTTGCTTGAATATCTTAATGATTGTGTTTGAATCTCGACTTGAGATTCTGCATATTTTAAAAACTTGATTTCTTGAATTTGAGACGTCTTGAAAATCGTTGTCTTGAGTTTTTTTTCTTCTGAAAATCATGACTTGAAATAGCACATAATAAAAAACTTGATTTTTTCAATTTGCGATGTTCCTAAAACCTTTTTTTTTTTTTTTTGAAAATCACAATCTGAAATTGTGCATATTTTAAAATCTTGATTTCCTAAATTTACAATGATCCTAAAAACCATTGTATTGAGTTTTTCCTGAAAATCGCAATCCCAAAGTCGCAAATCTTTCAAAATCCTCTATTTTTTAATTTAATGGTACTGAAGCCATTTTGCTTGAATTTTCCTTCAAGATTGCGACCTTGAAATCACGTGCATTTTTAAATCTTGATTTCTAAAATCTAGCATTAGTTTCAAAACGATTTTTCCCCAATTTTTCCTAAGTCATCACGGCTAATCAAATCTCACGTTTATTAAAAACCTGGATACTCCAAAATCAATTGTGTCTAAATCATTTTTATTCCAAAGTAGTGCAACTTTCGAGTTCATGTACGTATCAAAATTTCGATTCCTTTCATTTTTCAATGTTTGAATAATCTTTCCTGAGTCTGATATTGAATTACTTTTTCAATGTTTGAATAATCTTTCCTGAGTCTGATATTGAATTACTCTAGAGTAAAAATAAGGTTTCAGACTAACTAAATCCTGAATCATTTAAAATCGATAACTGACCTGATGGAAAACATGTCGATAGGCATAGGCATTCATCAAATTAAGAATTAGAGATTAAGACTAAACACATGTTATGCAATTTGTCTTAGATAGAACAAGATATGGTGATTTATGTTTTTTTCTACACATTACTAACTCTTTGTCCTAAAATCCTAAGCAACCCAACAATAAGTTCCTATTGACTATTAATATTAGGTGTTAACTTCTTTTTTGGACCCCAATTTCTCTCGAGGATAATCGTGAAAACAAAAATCATCGTTCACACTCATGTCCATGTGCAACGGCATTATGGAAACTTTTTTCATGGTCAAAGGGTAGGAATGTACTTGTTCTTTGAGGTTAGTAGAAGAGTAAATAAGTGTTCGTGTTTTTTCATTATTGTATTTTAATTCTATAGCAGTGTTATTGTGGTTGTGAAGAGTGATGATATGACGTTATCCCATCATTAGAAATTCATTCCTTCAATGCTTTATTTTCGGGTGATACTATGTTCTCTTTCGGACCAAATCCCCCGAGGCGAGAAGATTCCACGGTCTTCTTTTTGGGGGCGGCCACCGGTCGGAGGAACCAGTTTTTTTGGCGCTCTGGGCCTGTTCAATGGGCCAATTATTTTTTGGGTGTTGTGGGCTTGATGAGCTTTGGAATTAAGAGCTTTTGGATCCTTTCAGTTGGGCCAATTTGTGAAAAGGCTCCCCATTAATTTCGATTTTGGGAAATTTGTTACTCGTCTTCATTGGTCATCTCATAAAAAAGGGGCCGAGAAAAGCAAATCAGAAAAGCAAACGAGAAACTTCCGTTGAATTTACTACCCAGGACCAGAAACGTTTTGTCACCTAACAATCTTTACCGACTCTTACATTTTCACCGGAGTTCTTTAATGAATCCTTATGATGTCAAAAGTTTACGCTATTGGATAGGTTTTTGGAATGGTTTATATTAATATTCTAATATATGTTTTTAAGTGGAAGTTTTTTATATTTAAAACTTAACTACATCCATATCAGTGCTTTATTTATTATTATTATTATTTATTATTATTAATTATAAAAGGAAGTGACATGTTAGGATTTGAATTTATAAATTCGATTAGCAAGATTTTGATAATACATTAAAAAATTATTTTAATCTAAAATTTTAAAATATTAATTGAAGCCTCTAGAATGAGTTTATATTAACACTCTTAACATATCACAACGCATTGCACCCAGTTCCCCTAAGTTAAAATGGAAAAGTATCATGTTGGAAACAACACAATCAAGAAATTATGGGCATATGATAGATATTAATGTCAATTGTTTTGCATCTTACGAAGCAAAGTCTTTTGTCAAACTAGCTATATATGTGAACAATGACAAACTAGCTGCCATTAATCTATTGTAGATCATATGGGTGCTAAAGCCTATTTTCAACTGGAAGATTAAATGCAGTGCAATCTATTAGGCATCAATATTTGTCTTTAATTGATTTATAACTAAAACGGCAGCACATTATAATATTTTCGTTTCATGGTCATCACAAACGTTAGAACATGAGAGTTTGCCACTAGTTCAGTAGAGCCTGTCCAAATTCATGTCAAACAATACGATTTGTTCGATAATGGGTGAATTAAGAATTAGATTTCATTGCATATTGGTTACTAGCATTGATTGATTATATCTTCAAAAAGGGAACTAGAAAACCATATCAAAAGGACATTTATAAGAAAATTCCATTAAATTAACCACCCAGGACCAGAAATATTTTGTCACCTAACAATCTTTACCAACTCTTACATTAATTGTCATCAGAGCTTAAGCCTTGCGACAAGAAAATAGCGGCCAGTCCTGTTAACTTAAAAGGAAAAGTATCATGTTAGAAACAGTATTATCAAGAAATTATTGACATATGATACAGATTGTCAATTGTTTTGCATGGTACAGAAGAATTCAAGACTGATTTTTGCAGAGAAACAAAGTCTTTTGTCAAATGGTTTCGTCACTGACATCAAAGAACAAGCAACTACTGAAGACTTGGGCCAGTATTCGTCGGCTTCATCTAGAGCTAACATACACTATTTCAATGACTCCAATCTCTACCATGCAAAAGAGTTCTTTGCATATGCAAACAAGTCCACTTCATAAAGTTAGTTCTGCGCCGTCTCAACAAAACCATCCGTGCCTACCTCTACCAAAACAGGTGACATTACTTCCTCACACCGGAGTCTTATTCCACCCACATCTTTATTTGGTCCGTATTTCTTATCCAACACAAGGGGTCCAACCTAAATGCATTCTGTTCCATCCACTAGTCCTACCAAATCACAAACATCCAGGACTCCTCTGGTTTTGTCTATTTCCTCTACAAATTCCAGTAGCAAGTAGGCCTCCACCTCTTATAGTTCAAGCCAAACACATTCAGCCACCAGCACTCCCACACGTCTCCAACACACATTCCCTCTTTTTTCAGGCGACAGTACCAATAAAAAAACGAGTTTAAATCTTTGTTATTTTATTTTATTTCACTGACTATAATTTGCAACAATCATAGCAACTACACGCAAGTCCCACAAGAAAACACAATATAAGATTGTGCTCAATGGGACCTCCTTAAGCTCATCTTTCTACTGCCTATTCCAAGGTTCCTCTTACTCCTACATGCTATTCTCAAGCCAACCAGCACTCTGAATGGCGATAAGCAACGACAGTAGAGGTCAATGCTCTCTTAACCAATGGAACTTGGTGATTGGTTTCACGACAACAAGGACTGAGCATCATTGGCTGCAAATGAGTATACCACACCAAGAACCATGCTGATGGTAGCTTAAAAAGGTATAAAGCGTAGAAACTTTCAGCCCTATGGTAAAGCCAACAACAATAAGGTGTGTTCTCTCCATTGCCGTAACAAATTCATGGACAATCCAACAACTTGATGCCCATAATGCATTCCTTAATGGCTACTTGAATGAAGCTGTCTATATGAAGCAACCAATGGGATTTATTGATGAACAATGTCCTAATCATGTCTGCCACCTACATCGCTCCCTATACAATTTAAGACAATTCCCTCGTATTTCGCTTGCCTTACCAAGTTTCTGTTAGAACTTGGCTTCACAGATTCCAAAACGATTTTTCCTTGTTATTCTATAATAGGGATGGGAATCATGTGATGGTGGTTGTCTATATAGGTGGATGATATAATCATCACTGGAAATTTAGATTATATAATTTTTTCCATCATTGCAGCCTTGAATGGTCATTTCTCCATCTATGACCTTGACGCAATAACATACTTTCTAGGCATTAAAGCTATACCAATAGATGATGGTCTCCTCTTGTTCCAAAATAAATATGTCACTGATCTCTTGCATAAGCGTGACATGGACAACTACAAGCCTATTGGCAAACTCATGCCAACAACATCTATTGAACGATTTAATTTATATACATGACTTAGATGATGTTCATCAATAAATCTAGGTGGTTGCTCCATGAAAAATTTCTCATCCAAAACGTCATTCAAAATGGCATTATGGACATCTACTTATCGAATTGTCATGGCTGTGTGACTGCCAAAGAGAAGACACACCAAATGGCTGGTTTGATCATCGAACTAAAGATTCCTGTGTAATCCATCCCTTCTTATTGGTGGAAACCTTCAGCTACTAGCTATGCCTTATGCCTTTAATACAACCATTAGCTCTTTTCTTGGTTCAAAAAACTCACTTACACCCAATAATGTTCATGCCTAGAGTACGAGGGATGAGGGACAAAGTGCCATTGAGAAGTAGTGCATTACTTTTAGCAACCATGGCTTACAACCACTCTTGATATTTTTTAGCCTGTGAATAACTAGAGGGCTTAAGTGAGAGATAAGAAACGCTATGCCAGGGTTTGCTTCTAGAGGACCCAATGAATGTAGGTGCAATCTATGAGCGCAGATAGGAGTAGTGAGGATCTATTTCTGATGCTGCTGGATGTCATAGGAGCTTAAGTCAATAACAAGGTTTCTTGTTTATTTGATTACCCGCTAGTGGAGAAATAGGAGGAACCAATGGTATCTCAAGTGAGAAGAAAAATATGCTTTTTGACGAAGAAGCCAGAGATTATTTTGTCGGCAAATTGGACTACTGTAATTGCAATGATAAGGTAGAAAGGTTGGCGTAGAGTTTTGCTACAACAAGAGTATCAGCAATGGTTCTAGATGAGGAAGCTGTTGTTGGAGTCTTAGTGGGACTATCTGGAGGAGTGTTGTTAGGAAGTACAATTATAGTAGGACTGAATGAGGAGATATTTTTAGCTAAGGAAACACGTGTTGGTAATTTTGTGTTTGGGAGGACATGTGTTTCGAGAAGATTAGTAGCAAATTTGGGTTGAGATTATGGATATGCAGCATGACCGAGTTGATGATCTATAAGAGAATGAGGACCTATATGAGAAAAATATTTTTGACTAAGAATTGGGAAACTCCCCTGTGGTGAAGACTCTAATATTATTTTCGTGGGAGTGGATGTTGAAAACGAAAAGACAGATTCATGAAATTGAACACGTCTAGTAAAATAAAATCTTTTGAAATTATTTTCAAAACGGCCATATCTGAAATGATGTCTATTGTAGCCTAGAAAAGTGCATGGTATGCTTCTAAATTCCAAAAAATAGATAACCAAAGACTTTTAAAAATATATAATAAGGTTTTTGATGAAAAATAAATTCATATGGGTATTTATTTTTAAGAACCAAAGTAGGCATTCTATTAATTAGAAAGACTGTAGTGTCAAAGGTAAAGTATCAAAATTTGACTAGTACATTACTCTCTCCCAGAAAGGTTAGACCTATTTTTACAATATGATGATGTTGTCATTCAATAGTATCATTTTGCTTATGTTTCTAAGGACACATAATACGATGAATAATTCTAATTTTGTCAAAAGATTTATTAAATGAATAAAGCTGAGCCCCAATCTATTTGATTTTTTTTTTAATTTTATAATTAAACTGTCTTTCTAACTAAATAAAAATATTAAAAACATCAATTTCTTTCCTTTCTTTTTTTTTTTTTTACAAAAAAGGTAAAACTAAATAAATTTGAAAAAATGATCAATAAAAACAATGTAATATTCATGACCATCACTTGAAGGGGTAGGTGATGGTCCTCATACATCACTGAAAATCAAATATGCTATAGTGTTTAGTTGAACGAAGAGACAACCTATGTGATTTTCCTAATGGAGAAAAGACACTTGATCATGGAAGTTAGGTACGAATATGCAGCAATTTATTATTTTAAAAGAAAAAATTCATGACTCGATTATATGGATGACCCAATAAAAAATGTCATATTTGGAAGATGCTTGCATAGAAAAAGCTTTTGGATTAACAGTATGTACAGATCATCTTTACTCGATTCAAAAAGAAGTGATTTCTATTACACTTGATCCTTAATACAAAAAGCAAAAGAGTGAAAATCTCAAAATAAGTTATCATCGTAGGCTAATTTTTTAATAGAAAGTAAAAAACATGCAATTTTTGGAAGATGTAATACATCAACCATTTGAAAAGTTCTAGTTGGTGTAGAAATATGAGAAGTGCTAATATTTTCTATGGAAATAAACTCATCATTACCTACTTATAGCTAACCCAGTCCATAGTCTGGCTCATACTTACTCTAGCTTGAGATGTCAAGAGTGACATGATGTGAGACTCCAATGTCAAGACTCCATGGATATTGTTGATAGCTAGGAGAAGCATGGGGAGGATAAGGAGCCATATTAGCTGAAGGAGCAACAGCTTGGACATACCTTTGAGAGTAATTAATGACATTGTGGGTACTAATATTGCACAACTAATGACATATTAGCTGAAGGAGCAACATCTTGGACATACCTTTGAGAGTAATTAATGAGATTATGGATACTAATATTGCACAACTGATGACATACTTTGAAATCAAAATATTGCCAGCCATTAGAGAAATTGTGGTTTCATTCAGTGCTTCTCCCATGCCAATACCCTCTCTGGTTACAACCCTTAATACAAACAAAGGAGGAACCAGAGTAGTTTGGTTTGTTAGAGAAGAAGTTTTGTTTATGGGAACTTCTTACTCTTTCAGGTTAATTAGTCGTAGGAGTGACAGAGGAAAGATCATGAGGTACAAATATGAGAATAAGTTGCAAAGATTCCATGTGCAAGAATTCGTGACTTAAAAACAAGCTATGCAATTCAATAAAACATACCAGATCAGATCGCACAATCAAAGCTGTGATCATTACAATAATGGCCTCTAGCAGTTCCACTTCCTCTATAACTTGCAAGAACACTACTATTGTTTCCCATACAACCCAAAATAACATGACTCATCTCATAAATGCTCACCATTTTATCTCCCTTAAATAACTTTAATAAATTAACTTTTATGGCATACTAAGATAAGACCCATTTTAATAAGATAAGGTCTCTTAGAATTCATTAATGGCAGCAATAAATGTCCTTTCTTTCACGTTCTTTCTACAGAGAATGACGTATCTCAAACCCTCCCTCACTTTGCTTCTTGGGTTCAGCAAGAACTATTAATGAGTATGCTCATTGCCTCTTTATCCATAGAGGTTTTGCTCCTTGTCATTGATTGTAGCACTTCTCATGAAATTTGGACCACATTGAAGAGTGCTTTTGCCTTCTCCTCCAGTAACTGCATAATAACTTTTCATCTTGACCTTCAACGACTTAAGCAAGATGATACTAAAAGTGTTACTCAGTATCTATAATGGGCAAAATCTTACAGTGATGAACTCACTGTTATAGACAAGCCTTTGTCCACAATTGACTTCACCCTCTATGTCTTTCGGGGTTTATTTGAAGATTTTAAGTACTTTATCACAACTTTATAGATTACTTACTTGTTGTTTAATTATTCAATGTAGAATATATTTTTTAACACTTTTCATTACTTATAGCCCATCTTTTAAGGTCTGTCATGTGGCTTGCATTTTAAGATCTTTGTTAAATCGTTAGGCCTTTTGGAGATTCTAATATTATATAGAGTTAGATAGTTGAGATTGAGTTCCATGTAAAACACGTAAGTCTTATGGTGGGTAGTCCGTTCACAACTTTATATATTATTTATCTTTGGTTTAAATATTCAATATGAAATATGTTCTCTAACACAATGTAGCTAAACTTCTTTTTTAGCTTTTGTGATTTTTTTTTCATTTTCGTTATTGTTCCGTAATCTTACCTTTATTTTGATCCTTAGAGTTTTGTTAAAATTATTTTTATTTTGCTCCTTCAAGGTTTAAAATTATTCTTATTGTACTCATTTGTATTATTGTATGTTAATTTTTCTTAAAATATTTTATTGAATTATTGAAAATAGACACTTTAATTGATTTAAGTACATTATTGGCGTAAACTAACATGTCTATTTATTTAAATAATTTATTTTGTCTTCCCAATAAATAATCCTTTTTTTTTTTTGTGAGGAGAAATTAGTTATACTTAAGAGTTTAAGTGAAAAGGTTTTATAGGTTTTGATATCAAATATTTAACTAAATGTAGTTTCGTTGTAGCTAAGCTCTTTTATGGTTTTTTTTTTTTTTGTGATTTTTTTTTCTAGTTTGATCTCTGTTATTTGATTTTATCTCTGCTTTGATCATTGGAGTTTTGTAATATGTGCTTTTTGTTCATGCACACTACAATATTTTTTTTCAATCCTTATATTATATTTTTATTTTAGCCTTTCAAACTTTAAAATTATTCTTATTGGGCTCATTTTTATTGTTGTATTTTAATTTTCCTTAAAATATTTTACTAAATTATTAAAATAGGCTTTTGATTTAATTTTAATATATTATTCGAGTAAATTAGCAAAAATTTACTTTCCTTCTTTCATATAGGAAATTACCATTTGTGTAATAATTTACTCTAATAAACTGCACATATATATATATATATATATATATATATATATATATATATATATATATAGCAAATGCCTTTTATTTTTCTTTTTTATTTTTTAATTTTTATAAAGCAGATTTATCTGAAATTTTTGAAATAATCCATTGCGATATGCTTTAAATAGTTTTATTTCCATTATCATATAGATTGTTAGAACTCTTTATTTTATATAATTAAATAAACTTTAATTAGTTTTATTTCCATTATCATATAGATTGTTAGAATTTTTTATTTTATATAGTTAAATACATGAGAAGGTTGTGCCATTTTCCATTATTTGTCTTTAATTGATGTATAACTAAAATTGCAGCACGTCTAATATTTTCCTTTCTTGGTCATCACAAACGTTAGAAAAATAAGAGTTTGCCCCGGACACTCATGTGAAACAATACGATTTGTTCGATAATGGGTGAATTAAGAATTAGATTTCATTGCATATTGGTTACTAGCATTGATTGATTTTATCTTCAAAAAGGGAACAAGAAAACCATACCAAAAGGACACTCATAAGAAATTTCCATTAAATAAACTACCCAGGACCAGAAATATTTTGTCACCTAACACTCTTTACCAACTCTTACATTAATTGTCATCAGAGTTTAAGCCTTGTGACGAGAAAATAGCGGTCAGTCTTGTTAACTTAAAAGGAAAAGTATCATGTTAGAAACGGTATTATCACGAAATTATTGGCATATGATAGATATTGTCATTTGTTTTGCATGCTACAGAAGAATTCAGGACTGATTTCTGCAGAGAAACAACGTCTTTTGTCAAATGGTTTCGTCACTGACATCAAAGAACAAGCAACTACTGAAGACTTGGGCAAGTATTCGTCGGCTTCATCTAGAGATTGCATAGACTATTTCAATGACTCCAATCTATAAATAGCCTTGCATCCATGCTAGATATCTCACCCATCTCCGAAAGCACAATCAGTATAGAATCTAATGGAAGGACTCAAGTTTCTGCTAGCTTTTGTCCTCTTGGCTTTGGCTTCTTCATTTGTCTCTGCCTCTGATCCTAGTCCTCTTCAAGACTTCTGCGTAGCCATCAACGAAACAGATGGTGGTATGTACTTTCTAAGTTTTTCGTTAAGATTTTTTGTTAAGACCCACAGGATAATATTACACTGAAAATATCATGCATCCTGTACGTATTTTAATATCCCTTTATTTTCCGATACGCTCATTCTCTCTTGACGATTTTTTAATGATATCAAATGTCTTTCTCGTGCAGTGTTTGTGAATGGCAAATTCTGCAAGGACCCAAAGCATGTCACTGAAAAGGATTTCTTCTATTCTGGACTCAACATTCCAGGAGACACTTCCAATATTCCAGTTGGTTCAAATGTCACTGCTGCCAATGTTGAACAAATTCCAGGACTCAACACTCTTGGCATATCCTTCGCCCGCATCGATTATGCACCATATGGTGGCCTAAACCCACCCCACACTCACCCTCGTGCCACCGAGATCCTCGTAGTTTTGAAGGGCACCCTCTATGTTGGTTTTGTTACATCTAACACAGATAATCGCCTAATCAGCAAAGTCTTAAACCCTGGAGATGTTTTTGTGTTCCCAATTGGACTCATTCATTTCCAATTCAATGTGGGAAAAACCAGTGCAGTTGCTTTCGCCGGTTTAAGCAGCCAGAACCCTGGTGTAATTACAATTGCAGATGCTGTGTTTGGATCCGATCCACCCATTAATCCTGATGTTCTCACCAAGGCCTTCCAAGTTGACAAGAAGGTAGTGGATTATCTTCAGAAGCAATTCTGGTCGGACAACAATTAAAAGAACACATTTATTAAGCGGACGTGAAGCAGTAGTCCTGCCGTTTTCGATTACGTTTGTCATGTTTTCGTCATTCTTACCTTTATCATATTTATTATCATAAATAAAGAGGTTGCTGCACCAGTCTGTATGCTTGCATTGGTAATAATAAAATTTGTTTGTTAAGAATTTTCTTCTTCTCCCGTTTTTTGTTGCCTCTCACAGGTAGATAATAATAATAATAATAACAATAATAAAGCATTTGTCGGAAAACATTGAAGTTTATTTTATTCCAGTATACTACCCTATATACTCTTCAGATTTCAGAAGAACTTAGACATTTCATCCAAAAACAAAAAATTAATAATAAAGTCAAACATAAACTTGCAAAATGTGGAGAACGGAGTTTGTTTATCTGTTGCTTAAAATAATTTGAACTCTTTCAGCCAGCAACACCTCTATTAAGGCAAAACACAAAACCTGATCATGATCTAGAATCATCCTTGTCTGTTTGGAAACTAGCATCAGTGTAATCTTTTCAATCAGCTCTTAAGAGCCTCTATATACCAAAAGTAAATCTTTAGTTCTAGAGGTACTTCAGAGTATTCTTGATAGCAGTCTAGTGACTCTTACCGGGATCAGATTGGTACTTACTCGTCATGCTTGGAGCACATGAGACATCACGACAAGTACATATTGATCCAATTGCAAAAGAAAATGGTATCTTACTCATACGATCTATTTCTTCTTGTGTGGAAGGACATTGAGCCTTGGAAAGATGTATGCCATGTTACATAGGTAAAAATCCCTTCTTAGACTCATTCATGCTAAACCGTTTTAGCACCTTGTTAATGTATGTACTCTGACTTAGGCCAAGTAATTTTCTTGATATATCTCTATAGATTTTGATGCCAAAATATAGGTAGCTTCACCTAAGTCCTTCATGGAGAAACAATTCCTAAACCAAGTCTTTATAGAGTGTAGGTTGGGTATGTCATTTCTAATAAGTAGTATGTTATCTACATACAATACCAAGAACACAATTGTGTTTCCACTAGCCTTCTTGTAAACACAAGGTTCATCCTCGTTCTTAATGAAACCAAACTCTTAGATTGCATCATTAAAGTGAAGATTCTAGCTCTAAGAAGCTTGCTTTAACCCATAAATTGATCACTGCTAGACTTACACACTTTTCTAGCATTTTTTGGATCAACAAAAACCCTCATGTTGTGTTATGTACACATCCTCAAGAAGATTTTCATTAAGAAATGCAGTTTTGACATTCATTTGCTAGGTTTCATAGTCATAAAATACCATAATAGCAAGTAAGATCCTGATGGATTTAAGCATTGTGATCTGGAGAAAAAGTTTCGTCATAGTCTATACCATGAATTTGCTTGAAACCCTTGCAACCAATCTCCCCTTAAAGGTTTGTACATTACCATCCATGTCAGCTTTTCTTTTCGAAAACCCACTTGCACCTAATGGGTTTTACCCTTCGAGTGGTTCAACCAAAGTCCATTCTTTGTTTGTGTACATGGATTCCATTTCGGATCTCATGGCTTCTTGCCATTTTTTAGAGTTTGGGCCCATGATAGCCTCTTGATAGGTAGTAGGCTCATTATAATCCATGAGCAATACATCACCACTTTGAGTCATAAGAAATCCATATCTCTTAGGCTCATTACTTATCCTGCTAAATCTATGTGGGCCTTGTGTTATTTGAACAGGTATTTGGTGAACAATAACCTGTGTCCTCCGCTCGAGTTCCACCCGAGGTGCATTGCTATCTTAGGATCATGCATTTCTTCTAGTTCTACTCTCCTCTTATCGGCCCTTCTAGAGATGAATTCTCTTCTAAAAAGACTCCGGTTCCAGCAACAAACACTTTTTTCTCATTTGAATTATAGAAGTAGTATCCCTTGATTTCTTTTGGATACCCCACAAAATAGCATTTGTCAAATTTGAGTCCTAGCTTACCTAAATCTTGACGCTTTATGTATGCTTCACAATCCTAAATCTTCATAAAAGGCATACCGGGATGTTTCTCATTCCACATCTCATATGGTGTCTTTTGGACCATTTTAGATGGAAGATAATTAAGTGTAAAGGTAGTTGTTTCTAGAGCATGTCCCCAAAGGAAATTGGAAGATCTATTTGACTCATCATAGATCGTACCATGTCCAATAAGGTGCAATTTCTCCTCTTAGAAACACCATTCCATTATGGTGTACTCGAGTGGAGTGAGTTGTGATAAAATACCACACTCTTTAAGATAGTCATCAAATTCTTGGCTTAAGTATTCACCACCTCGATCCGATCGAAGAGTTTTGATACTTTTGCCAAGCTGATTTTGCACTTCATTCTTGAACTCTTTGAACTTTTCAAAGGATTCTGATTTTTCTTTCATAAGATACATATAGCCATATCTAATGAAATCATTAGTAAAAGTAATGAAGTAATGATGACCTCATCTAGCTAGTGAGCTTATGGTCCTACACATATCATTATGTATAAGGCCTAAGAGATCACTAGCCCTTTCATTATGTCTAGTAAAAGGGACTTTAGTCATCTTTCTCAATAAACATAATTCGCATGTCTCATATGATTCAAAATCAAATGAGTCTAAGAATCCATCTTTATGGAGCTTAGATATACACTTCTCATTTATATGACCTAATCAATAGTGCCAGAGATAAGTTGGGTTCAAATCATTATATTTGAACCTCTTGGTAGTAATGTTATGGACATGTGTTTCAAGGTCCAAAAGATAAAGACCATTGATTAATTATGCACTTATAATAAAATATTTCATTTAAATAAATAGTGCAACGTTTGTCCTCTATTATGAATAAAAAACCTAACTTGTCCAAACAAGAAATAGAGATAATATTCCTACTAATGGCAGCATATAATAATAGTCTTCTAAATCAATAACTAGCCCAAAGGGCAAAGATAATCTATTAGTTCCTATAGCTAAATTAGCAACTCTTACTCCATTGCCTACTCATAGATCCACTTCACCTTCAGCCAAAGTTCTACTCCTTTTCGGTTCCTACTCATTTACACAAATGTAGGAACCATATCCAATAGCTAATACCCAAGATGAAGAAGTAGAAAGATTGACTTTTATAACAAATATACCTAAAGTAGAAGTCTCACTTCCCTTCTTCTTTTTAGTTCTTCCAAATAAACCTTGTACTTCCTCTTTTAATGTCTAGTCACACCGTAATGGAAGCAAGTTCCCTCCTTTGGCACTCTAACTTTGGGTTTCAATGCTTTGTTCTTAGGCTTACTCTTGGGCTTGATGATTTTCTTACCCTTACCTTTGTTCTTTCCCTTTTCCTTTTAAACCATTAGTATGGAAGTGGGTTTAGATCTTTTTAGATTCTGTTTAGCGAGTTCTCGACATGCTTAGTAGTTCTAGTAGTGGTTTGTCAATTTCATTCACGAGTGTAGTCCATGACGATTTGACTATAGCTCTCGAGCAACGATTGAAGAACTAAATCGGTGGCCAACTCTTGGCCTAGAGGAAAGCCCAGTATTTCAAGACTCTTAACATTTCCAATCATCTTGAGTGTATGAGGAAGTAACGGGGTTTGCCTCTTCTAGCTTGCATTGAAATAATGCCACGGAGACATCAAATCTCTCATGACATGCTTGACCCATAATAGAGCCTTTTGAAATGACCAATCCTATCAAAGGCATTCATGTTCTCATGTTCCTTTTGGAGTTCAAAATTCATAGTAACTAACATGAGACAACCGATGTCCAAAGCGTCATCTTGATGCTTTTTGTGAGCATCTTTCTCAACACGAGGGGCATTAGTAGCGAGGAGTAGGGGTAATAGCTTCTTCGAGACATATAGCTTATTTTCTTATTTTAGGACTATCCTTAAATTTCTATACCAATCCGGGAAGTTTGTCCTAATGAGCTTGTCCTTATTAAGGATAAATCACAAAGATAAGTCGTTGGATATGTTGGATGTCATCTATAATCTAAAAAAAATATTTATGGATAAAATTCATTTAATTAGGTGTTTCATTAAATGAACCTCCCACTATTTTATTCAAATCAATAGCCCTCACTATTAATTAAGAAAGTCTAACTATTGAAACTTTCTAATGGGCAAAGATCCATATTTTCCTAACTATTGAAACTTTCTAATGGGCAAAGATCCATATTTCACCTAGTATTGAGTCGGCTTTGGCTAATCACCTAAGACTTGGTTATTTAGGTAGACATACACTTGCCAATTGCAATCTCATGCAACTCTTAGATACTTGAGTAAACAACTCTTGTTATAATCTATCTAATGGACTAATACTCAACTTTATGCCTCCGATCCTTATCTCATGAGCCGATTAAGTCAAAACCTAATAGTTGATAATTTGGATATCACTTAGTTACCCAATTGTGCCTTACCAAAATAAGCTAAGTGTCTTTGGCAAGCCCACATGTAATCGATCTAGGCCTTGACGAGTATCAAGTATTGATAGGCATTTTCATAGACTTAATTTTACCATTGAGGGATTTAAGTGATGTTTTTATTAATATCTCACCATTAATTAAGCCATTTAAATGTTATATGTCTAATGCATGTCATACACACGTAGTGATAAAAGTATAAATATAAACGTGTCATAGTTATGGCTCAAATCTACATCAATCTTCTCAAGCCAATGAGAACATTGAAAGGTCAACCTAGGGAAGTGAATCTCCACCACGTCTCTTCCTTTGTTGACTTCCTTTGCATAGTCATCACCATCTTACCTCCATGTTTGATTACAAAATTTAAATCAAATAAACTACACTAAATCTATGTTATATAACAATTACATAGGATAAGGAAACATTGAGTCACATTCGAGGAGATATATGAAAAGAGAATTTTACAATCAAAAAATACGAGAGGAAGGCATGACATATAAGTCATAAAAAATTACAACCATAATAAATATACGCAATCACATTGGTGGACAAGGGCCATAACTACGTATCATACACAATATAGTATAAAA